ATCCCAAGCCAGGCGAGCAGTTTTTTAACCGTTTTGACTTTTCCCTCTCCTACCGCTCAGGATCTAAGAACAGAAAACGTGATGCCTTGTCCTGCTACTTCCAGCCAGCCGTTTCTCCTAGAGACACAGAAGACATCCTTCCGCCCACCTGTCTCATTGGCGCCATTTGGAATTGAAGACAAGGTTAAGCGATCACACACTGAATATCCTTCTCCCAGTGCCTGTCCTGATAACCGCTTGTATGTTTCTGCCACCATGCGATCTCAGGTTCTTTAATGTGGTCACTCATGACGCCTTGCCTGTCACCCTGGGGGTAGTCTTGCTGCACCAGCGTTTCTGTTGGCCCTCCATGCAAGAAGACACAGGGGAGTTCATTGCTGCCTGTTGCAGCTGCACCTAGCAGAAGAATGCCTGACAGGCCCACTTTGGTGTATCTCAATCCTTACCTTTTCCTCATCATCCCTGGTCACACATTTCTCTGGATTTCGTCACCGAACTTCCCCCTTCTGATGGTAACACAGTCATCCTCACTATTGTAGACTACTTTTCTAAGACTGCCAATTCGTCCCCTTACCCAAACTACCTTCTGCCAAAGAAACTGCTGAGATTATTCTTAATCGGGTTTTCATCTGCATGGCCTCCCCTGGGACATTGTCTCAGATAGGGGGCCCCAATTTACTTCTCGCTTCTGGTCTGAGTTCTGCAGGCTCCTGGGAGCATCCATCAGTCTGTCCTCTGGGTTTCACCCACAGTCCAATGGTCAATCAGAACGGATGAACCAGGAGATGGAAACTGCGCTATGCTGTTTCTCATCCAGCAACCCCTCCTCCTGGTCCAAACAACTCATCTGGGTCGAATATGCTCATAAAACACTCCCCTACTCAGCCACAGGCCTCTCTCTGTTCCAGTGTTCCAGGAGTTACCAACCTCCTCTCTTCCTTGATCAGGGGCAGGAAGCCAGGGTCCCATCTGTCCAGGCGTTTATCTGTCAGTGTCAACGCACTTGGATGCAGGCACGCTCCAAACTCCTACGTTCCCCTGACCATTATCCGTGCAACGTCAACCAGCACCATCGCTCTGCACCCCAATACACTCCGGGACAGAGCGTCTGGCTCTCCACTCGGAACCTTCCTCTCCAGGTGGAATACAAGAAGCTGGCCCCCAGGTTCGTGGGACCATTCCCCATCTCCAGGATCATCAACCCTGCAGCGGTCTGCCTTCACCTTCCCTGGTCTATGTCCATCCCACATTACACGTTTCCTGGCTCAAACATGTCAATGAGAGCTCACTCCAACCCTCCTCCAGACCCCCATCACCCCCCCGACTCATTGAGGGTGGCCTCACCTACACAGTCCGCCATGTCACTAAGGCACGACATCGTGGGGCAGGCTTTCAGTACCTGGTTGACTGAGAGGGCTATGGACTAGAAGAACACTCCTGGGTTCCCACACGCAGCATCCTAGACCCATCCCTCATCAGGAAAAACCACCCTGACCAGCCCAGTGGGATGTCAGGGGCCGTCCCTTAAGGGGGGGTTCTGTTACAACTATCTACCAAATGCCTTGTGTCTAATCATCTCTCTCTGTCATTTCAGATCCAGCCACCCTCACAAGCCGCTAATCACCTCATTCCTGTCACCACACACACACTCACCTGCTCCACATTCCCTCATTAGTTCATCTGTGTATTTATACCGGTCAGTTTCGTTCACTCTCTGCCAGATTGCCTAGTGTGTTCCTGCCTAGATATCCCGCGTTAGATTCTATATTCTTGCCTACCTGTTTCTGACCTGACTATGACCCCGTTTGGATTTTCGATTCCTTTCTTGCCTGCCCCTTCGGATTTGTTTGCTATACTGACTGATATCCTGGTTTTGACCTCTGCCTGTGTTTTCTCTGCTCTTTGGGTGAATAAACAACGTTGACCACACTAAGACTGTCTGTATTGTATTGTCAGAGCAAAGAGGGAGAGAGGAGAATGGAAAGAGTGAGCAGGATGACAGAGAAAGAGAGCATGAACCAAGTAAGAAAGTGGACAAATAGTCAAAGACACGTTAGCTACGGTTTCCCCTACATTCTTTAAAGTGGACATCACACTAATTTAATACTAAGTGGATTCTCCCCAGTCACTTCTTAAATATATTTATATTATAATTGCTCTGTGTGTTGGCTTCATTTACTATCACATTATATGTTGTTTTGTATTTCCATACATTATATTTATGTGTTATTGTCAGTGCAAAGAGGGCAAGACGGCCTTTGGCTTATTTGACATGACCCCACAGAATTATGCAGAAGACTCCCTCTCTCACATTCTACAGGTATCTCTGACTCCACTATTCAGAAAGAACAACTATTATTATTCTGCTGCATAGGTGCAGCATTAGACACAATGAAAATGTGGTCACAGTAAATGGAAATGTTACCTGAGGAAAATATGAAATATCTAAATGAGAAGGTAAATAAAAGAACATTATAAATGTTATTTTATTAGTGTATAATTAGCTTTATTTTAATTTTAACACCTTTAAAAGAACACCTCCAAACAGTAGAATTTGAAAGTAAAATCTATTGATGTATTTCTGCTGTATTTCTGACTCTAATAATAACCTTGTATTGCTTCTTATATTACATTTACATAAACCTGTCTAATTTTGCATTCATTTTATTCTCCAATATGCAATTCATGTTTAATGCCTGTCATCACTGAGGAAGGCTCACACTGAAGCAGAGAGATGCTCCTGCTGAGCATCCTCTTACTCTGAATTGCATGAAACGCATTAATACTGAACAACACTGAGATCTCAGTTTGCAGTTGATCCCATGATGTGACTGACTCCAATGAGAATGACATGGATGGTAGCAAAACGTGATGGTCATAAGCAATTTTTCAAAGCTTTCCGGTGGTAAACTATCACAGACATTGGATTCTATTGATCGAGTGCATGGTCTAAATCACAATGAGTGCATTTCGGGTATGTCCAGATGCACTCTTAATTATTCATGGGTGTGTTTTGTAAGTAACATGCAATAAACCCCTCACAGTGTCATCTCCCAGCCCATTTAAAAGCTAAGTATACTTTCACCTTGGTGGACTGACAGTATAAGGACAGATTTTCCAGATCTTAAGAGATAACACTTCTCGACAAAGCAAATAAAAATGCTCTGGCACATGTGTCAAAGATCACCTGTTTGTGTAACAGAGTAAATAGTAAATGGTCTGCATTTATTTAACACTTTTCTGGTAATCCCTTGATGCAAAGTACAGATTTGCCATTCACCAATTCACACACAGTGCCTCAAGATAGCATTGCGCCAACACTGTCCTTCCACATTGTGGTTGTCCTACCACACCTAATTTTAAGACTAACAAGTGCATTTGCAACCTAAACAACTTGAAAAGAAACTTGCTGGCATTGCTTTGACCTCTATGTGCTGGGTGTAAGATAAGGACCATTAATCTTTAATGGTAAACAGCATTAACACAAGTTACAACCATGAATTTTTAACTTTTGGCCACAGTGTTGCTAATTCTTGGTGCTGCTTACTACTTACTAGGATTATTTGATACACACATGCACACACACACACACACACACACACACACACACACACACACACACACACACACACACACACATAGTATATGTACCAGTTTCTCACACATATGGATTTATTCATCGGTCATGTTGTTTTATTGTGGAAATTAATAGATCACAATATATATGTAATATAGCAAATATAGCACCTTCCTTACTGAGCCAAAGTCACCTACATGGAAACTGGAAACATGGAAACACAGGAAACTCTATTTTTGTATTTAATTTTCAAGTTACTTGTTTGATTTAGATTCTGGGGCACTAAAAATATACAGCTTAATATTTATAAGAGACATGCAGAGCTTGTCATAACACAAGCACAATAATGTAACAGGCAGTTTTTGGTTCCTCTGCACAAGATGTGTTTCCAAGGAGCCCAGACTATTGAGTCAGTCAGTGAAAAGACATCTCCTCTCAAACTGAGCAGTGCTCACTGCTGCTGCACAACAGTGGCAACTAATCTTTGTAGTAAAAAAAATATTATCTCCGACCATTATTACAGCTTTTACATCAGAAAAAAAGAGAGCATTTCCTGTCAATGGCGGTGGCATCTGTTAAGTTTTCTCATTGCTAATCAATCAGCATTCATTTTCTCGGCTTTTGTGACACATTGAGCTGACATGAAACATGTTTTCACTCCCCTCAGCTCTGTGCCAAAATACGGCTAATGCACACTTTTTCTTGGCAAGATGTCATGAGACTGAGCTGCATCTGAACCTCCCTTTGTTTGTGCTTCCATAGGAAATAGCAGAGCATGTCAAAGGGAGGTTTTATCCGATCAATGCTGTGAAGACAGTCCTGCACATTTCATGATAAATCATAGCCGAAGCAAAGAGAATGAAAGAATATAACCATGATGGCCTCCTTTCTCAATGGACCCTGTTTGGATCCATATAATTATGTATTGATATAAAATTACAGGCAGGTTTTTCTTTTTGAAAAAAACTCATAGCTTTGAGGCCATTACAGACACAAGCTATTGTACTTAAGATGAACTGTCCTTACATGGACAGTTGGATTTGATGCAGAGTAATATTACTCTGAATAGGATTATTTTTTAACACATACATATTTTCCTAAGGCTTTGTGGGTTTATACACTATATAATGGTTGGCATATTTATCCTGCCATTATTGTGAGCCTCAAGACACCAAAATACCATCTCAAATATCACAAAGTTGTTACATTAAAATCCTGTAAATTGACCACAAGGTCTGCACAAACACAAAGTTTACATCATAGAAAATCTGAGATTGAAAAAACATGATAAAATACTGTGTCTAACCATCTATGTAATTACCAGCAATTCACTAAAATAGACAGTATGTTTCAAAAAATACAAAAATAAATACATTTGCAACAAAGCCATCATGAGAGACAAAAGATTTCAAAAATGACTCACCTCTCAGTGGAGCTGTGACTCAAACCGTTTCCACAAGTGGCTCAGATGGACAGGATGATGTTTCTGTCGAATACCAGACCTGTGGATTTACGCATTGTGATGCTGAGCTGTAAAAGGGAGGGGGAGAGAGAGAAAGAGAGAGAGGGAGTGTGGGAGGGATGGAAGTGGAAGGGTTAAATCCCTCCCACTCCCTTCTTCAGATCTGCTTGTCGTGTCCGTGCAGATCTGACAGCATGGACACGACAAATCAGCTATCAGCACCAAATTTTAGTCATCTCGCTCAGTGGGTTAAAGGTAGCAGCAGCCGGAAGCACAAAGCCTTCTCCAAATATTCTGTCTCTTAGGAGGAGCTCCATCTTTAAAGAATTTAGCCCCTATATGTGTGTTGGTGCAGAGATCCAGGCCACAGTGTTTAATGAGACAAACCACAACAAAGTGAATGTGTGTGGGGGAACTTAGAGTAGGAGCTTGTTCTAACAGACACAAACTGTGCAAGCTATTATTAATAGACAGTTCAGGACATTGTGCAGTCAAACAGCAACAGAGCAGTACATGACAACACTATTTAGCAGCATTATTACTGGTGCCAGACATTAATTAGTCAAAGAGTAACAAAGCTAACCTGCTGAATGCAAGACACAAGTTAACATGCCCGTATTATTTGCAGGTGTAGTATGTCTTACACCAGATGACTAATCAGAGCAGACTGGACTTTAAGGGAGGTGGGCAAAGAGCTAGAACCGTGTTTCAGACAAAGAATGAAAAGAAACGTTGAATGATATAAGACAAATAATATGTATTTTAAAGTAACCGTATTCTGAAAGCACATCAAATTAAGGTTATGAACCTACAAATGACCAAGGCATAGGCACATTCATTTATACAGCATTCTAGTCTAACGTTTTAAGTATGAGATTAGAATTTAGAATAAATGAAGTTAATGGACAAATAGGACTCATTCTTATCAGAATTAACCTAAATCAGTTTGAGTTCATGATGTACCTCCCATACACATCATCTGGTCAGCACATTCAATCAACCAATCAATAAATCAATCAAATTTTATTTGTATAGCCCATATTCACAAATCACAATTTGTCTCATAGGGCTTTAACAAGGTTTGACATCCTCTGCCCTTAACCCTTAACAAGAGTAAGGAAAAACTACCTAAAACCCTTTTAACAGGGAAAAAAAACATAGAAACCTCAGAGAACCACATGTGAGGAATCCCTCTCCCAGGACGGATAAGAGTGTAACTGAGAATATCAGCATCATAACAGTATGTACAACATTGAATAGAAGAAACAGTTTTAGAATGGAAGAGGTGTGTCAATGTTTTATAGGTATTTAGTATTTATACATAAGAAATTGTCTGATAGAAATGAAGGGGGCAGTAATGACAATTGAAATTGAGGAGTTATTGCCAGTAATGGTAGAATATGTGAGTATAGACATATTGTAAATCAAGCAGTCTTGTTGTATTCATAGACCATGATCATGATCCACCACCACAATCCACCACCACGATCTCGATCAACCACCTCTATACATGATCAGCTGCCACCACTATCACAAACCAACATCATAACATTTTTGATTCTCCATCCACTGTCTTGGCCTATAGTCCATGATCAGAATCTATGATCCACAATGTGGCCGCTATCCTGGGTCTGCCAACAATAATGCACAACGACGCATCATATCAGTAACATGTATTGATGAGAGATTAATGGAATAAAGTAGTAGAAAAGGAAAGAAAAGCTCCATGTGTCATTTGTCCTCTGACTTTAATAACTTTTAAAGCCTAACATGGGCTAGCCCCAACCTACATTTCGCAGCTCTTGACTCCTTGTAATATCAGTCGTAACCTGAGATCGGCCAGCCTGTCCCTGTTGGCTGTCCCTAGGTCAAGGCTGGCTACTCAAGGTGACCAGGCCTGGTACCCAGAATATTTTTGGATGATATTTGCATTCAGCTTCTAATTTACTGCCCTCTTGTGGCTGCTGTAAGCACATTCTTTGAAAGCCAGCTTGAATACCAGCTAATGTTTGATTGATTGAAATTCCAAGCAGATTAAGTATGGTCTATCAATAATTTTCATCATATTTCATAATATTCTTTGGTTTAATTACTATATTTGGATTGTTTTGTACATTACCTATTGATTCTTGTTTCATTCTATTATTATTATTATTTATCAGATTAGTGTAATCATATGACGTTTTGTATATTTAATGGTTGGCTAATAATTCCAGCCACTGCAGCGACCTAATTTCCCCTTGGATATAACAGTGTTATCTTATCTCTTGTTTAATTTTATGCCTCTGATCTGATGATGTTACTGGCTCTGCCTCTCTTTATTTGGACAATCACATGGCTGGATTTGAATACCAAATCTTAAGTGAGGCAACTGTATCATCAAGCTGATTACCATTCAGGAACAGTAACATATGTATATACAGTGGGTTCCAAGTCTCTGTACTTAAAACACAAAAGGTTTTTATAAAGTTTGTATGTAAGTAAAACAACACAAGGATTGTGTCTCTCTTTCCCAGGATGACACAGTACAGAGTAAGGTCAAAAAATTATCCAAATTGTATTTTGCTGTATCTTGTAGGACACAACTTTGAGTTAGGGGAGCTGAAAACAAACAATGGTTTGGCAAGACGAGCCAATGTTCAAATATATTTGTCAGAAAGAGAAGCTCTGCATATAATCATTTCTGTATCTGTATGGCCCCTCTGCCAAATCTCCCTGATGCATCTGTTATAATATAGAAAGACTTCATTACTTCACCCTGCAAGATTTAAATCACAGTAACAGTAACAATATGCAATTAAAGGTAACATATAAATCTCTAGATTACCAAAAAGGAGGACTGTGAGGGAGGGATCTACAGAAGCCCAGGAGGTACAAAAGAGATAATATCCAGCATAGAAGTAAATAAAAATTGTGATTCAGGTTCAGACACACACACATATTCTATATAGTGTAGCACAATCCCAGTCAAGAAGTAGAAGTGAAAACAATTGAACATAACAGCATCATAAAACACTTACAGACCCATACAATGTAGGATTTATGATTTTTTATGATTTGAATTTGAGGCAAGAGGAGCTTGAAACACATGATTATTTGTCCTGAACAGCCTGTCCTGAACAACATCCTTCCTTAACATAAATTGTATCAGCCTCTTTATTGGTGTTACTATGTGATCAAATCTTTACATAACCTGTGTATGCCTACTAGAATGACAATAGTGGGTGAGGTGGATGAGGTCTGATAAATAATGTGCAGTCCTGTGTAGTATATTTGAGGGTCAGAAATGTAAGCAGCAATATCTGTGTTTGTCACTGCAGTTTACTGGCTGATGATGTAAGTTACCAAAGAGATGTCCTGAGGGTCAGAGGTCACAATTGTCACTCAGGATTTCAAAAAACATCTACTCAGGACAGACTTGGTACAGACAACTTTGTAATCCATTCAGTCAAGGGGCTCAGTCCCTGTCTAACAGGTCCAAGTGATTATTTCTTATTTTCATTTCAGGGTTGTCACTACCTCTACAAGTATCCTCACCCCATCTGTCACTCATTGTTCTCTCTCATTTATCAAAACCTGAATGGAGGGCATTGATGAGATCAGAGATTTCACTTGACATCCACAAAAGAGAAATCGACTGGCCTCAGCGGGTTCTACAGGACCATCTTCCCTGATGACATCAACTGTCTGTTATACATCCCTACCTATGAGGTACCCTTCTCCTTTCTGTTGGTCAAGAGCGCTTTGTTGCCAGGTCCACTTTTTGTATGCCTTCAATTTTCAGTTGTTAATGTCTGTTTTGTTCCTTTGTTTCATGGTGGAGGCCAATAACCATTGCTGCTTTCAGGTTATTTGTGTGAGATGCCACATTCGTGCTATAGGTTGTCACAACAGAGTCATGAATGACCATATGGATGGCAGTATATACAGGTAGACAAGAGATCTGGCCAAACAAAAGGTAAGAGTGGGGTCACTTCATAGTCTAACCAGATGTGAAATATAAATGTCAGAGTCTGCAAATGTTGTGGCCAGTCAGCTTTCACTTCAGATGTGAACCTGTCATGCCGCCTATAGTGCAAATGTGTCCCACACTTAAATTCCCAAATGGGTAGTAAATTGTACAATTTCGTTAGCACCCTGGTCAGTGTGAAGGCTTTCTGAGAATCCAATGACACAAAAGTATTTTTCTTTTTTGTATGTATTTCTATCTGCACAAACTGTTTTTTCTAAAGGTCTCTCACAGCAGTCATGCATTTCAACCATATTAAGAGGTTGCCCAAACTGGAGATGGTTAGGTACACCAAAAGGTACATGGCTCTATAATAGAACAGTGCTCCTTGGCACCTACCCTCACTTACCAGATTCTGCTAAAGAATACGCAGTAGGAGGTAGTTGGCCTTTTTTCTCTTGCACAACAGTCACAGCAATTAACATGGGACTTTGGCGTAAAACAGCACAGATGATAATGTTATTATAAGGCAACACAAAGTAAGGTCAGTTTTACAATTATAATCACCCTGGGTGACCCATTCAGTTGACCAGATACGTAGTTGTGGTCAACGCTTTGAATGGTTTTGCCCTGAAAATGCAGGAATAAACTCTAGTATAAAGTTAGGACAGCTAACACTGCTTTTTGAATATTAGTAAAAGTTGCACCCTTTGATGTGTTTTAGGACTTTCTCTTTGGGAGTCAGTAACAGCTGATGAAAGAATGGTGGCCTTTGTTGGAAATTATGTCACGTTGTTAGTTTATAATTTTCCATGAATAAAAAAACAGGTGACTTTTTGTGATCCTCTAAGGGGCGAATTATATTACTAATTTAATTCTGTATCATCACAGTTCATCAGGAGTAAACTTTTGCTTGTTTACACTGTAGTCTCTCTCTCTCTCTGTCAGAGTGCATGCTTGTGTGAGTGTGATGGTGGAAAGTGTTTGGAGTGTCTTTGTAACTTTGTAACAGACAAACTCGAGTCTTTTTGCTCCCTTACATTTTTGCACCTCATTTATCACAGTAGCTGAGTTCAATCAGGAGAGACTTGATTCAAAATTTAACAATGTTTATTT